CGTTGTCAGGGCTTACGTAATTTACTACAACACATAAAATTTTTTTTAAAGAAATTTCTTTAGATTCATCAACCAAAACCGAGAACCGCTGTTTTTTTAATACATTGAGAATTTTCGTAAGCTCGTGTGCACTCAAAACATTTTTGATTAGGCTTGCACATTTATCTTTTTTCATTCTCATTTTTTCCACTACGTGAGGTTTTTTGCACATTTTTTGGATGAGGGGAATCAAATCGTCAACAAGTTGAATATGTACGTTGTGTTTTGCTTAAAAAAGAGCAGTCATCAACTCAAACTCTTTGACTTGTGTGACGATATGTTCAGATTCTCTATCTATAAGGGTTCCATTTTCCCTTGCAACATTAACGTTATCTCTGTGAGTTTAAGTCTCAGCGTGCCTAATCGAGTCTTGTCGGTTGTAACAGGTAATGTTAACAAAACAAAGAAAACAACGAGCAGGTTTCTCAATGTTTGACGGATCTTTGCAAAGCCAATGATTAAATTGATTTTCTTGTAACCATGCATCTACAAAAATTTAAATTTTTTTTTGTTTTTTTGATGTGTCATCATTACTAGAAATTTGGGGTTTTCGCTTTGAAGTCTTTTTTTTATCAGAAGACATTGTTTGTTTTTTATTTTTATATGGTATTATTAAAGGTAATTAAGCAAATTATATTTAAATATTTTGAGAAAAAAGTATGTAAAAGTGGAATCAGTTTAAAAGTCAACAAAATATATGTTGTACAAATTGTTATTGAAACAAATCAAAAGAAAGCTATACAAAGACTCTTGAGCTCCAACCAAAACTTTAAAAGCATGAAAAACGAGCGAACTATTAAAAAATAATGTTACGTGATCAAATTAAATCACGTCATTTTTCTGGAAAATTTTCATAAAATTATTTGCATTAAATGACATACTATAAATAAAATAAATTATTTAATAACAAAACGTTAGGACAAAACCATTCTTTACGGAATTTAATATCACTTATAATATCCCAGAAAGGCTTATCAACACAAACTTATATTAATTACTTTATATTCATGTGTACAAAAAAAGTTTAGTTGCATGAATGTTCGAATAATTTACTACTTTAAGGGTCATTAAATTGCATAGCAAATAGTTTTCGTACCTGCAATATAAGAAAATTAAAATGGTCACTAATAAAACAGACTCAGTATAATACCAGGTAAGAAGATCACACGATGCGTGCTCAAGATAAAAGTAAAATTTAAAAAACTTTTTTTAAATGATGAAAGAAAGAAAATTTACCAGAAATCTACTCCACTTCACATGAACACACCCCAGAATCCTCTAATGCACTAAATTCTATTTTAAAGGTATTCAAACATTACCTTATATGTATTATTACCTTATATGTATATATTATTACATGCAAAAAAACGTTCACAAACTATAAAAACACACCTTATTTAAAAATTCAGTTGATTCAAGCACTACTTCTTACTGTATGATAATTTCACTTCTTAGTAAAATGCAGCAAGCATAAAAACACGTTATGTATAACGCACATGCACGTAGGTAGCTGTAAATAACAATAATTATGTTATACATCAAAAGTGCATGCACTACACTATACACGAATTGCGCTGCATTAAAAATCTCAAGAAAAAATTTTGATTGAACGCTACAAGTAACAAAATCGCCATACACCAATTATCACCTACAGTATTGCAGCTAACACAACACTTCCACTATCTAATCATGTACTGCTATTCTTTTCAGATCGAAGCAACTACAATTCTATCACAAATACCAAGATATAAACATTTAAAAAACCGTTACACTACACAAGCAATCTAAACCAAGAAAACATGCCTTCTCGAGAGCTACACGGAAAAAAAAATCAAGCATCTGTAGCATGAATACCATCCATATATCGATAGTGTGAAAGAAGTATTGGGTTAAACGCATCGGTTAACATAGCAACACTGTGCGATACAGGTATAGACGGTATAAGATGCGCTAAAACGAATGTAGTATGGTCGGCCAGCGTAAACACTGTGACACACACGGTCGTAGCGCGTGGAGCCCACGCGCAAAGTGTTTCGTGTGTACTCATACTGATTTTGAAAGAGAGACATGCATGAGATGCACAGGCATCTTAGGTATTCTACGTGCCTATCATGGGGTTGGTCTTTTTCACTGTGCCTAACTCTTACTTCTATTAGTGTAGTTCAATAGGTAACACAAACACAACACTTGTTACCTCTACTTATACAAAAATGAACTGAGTGGAATCATAGTTCATGCTGCATAACCAGGAACTTATTGTTTATTAATTTACCTTTTGCCGTATAACCTTCAAAATTGTAACGTATACTGATGTTGTTTCGGTGATTGTCTCCGCTCTCTCTCTCTCTCTCTCTCTCTCTCTCTCTCTATATATATATATAATGCACTCAGCGCAGGGTGTTGACAAATAAAGTTGAGCACAATTCACATGTAGTACACTTGAATAAAATATTAGTAATTAATGATGAACAATCGCCACATAAATTTAGTACTCATTAAAGAAATAACTATTACCTTGATTATTCATCATTACACACATGAAATCACACGAGCATCACACATATCACATCAGTATATCAGCTGTAATGGATGAGTATTGGGATTATGCCTCTACCACGTGACCTCAGTATATATATGACTAATATAAAGGAGAAATAACACAGGTCTTATGGGAGGAATCTTGTTTTTATTTTTTTTTGCACTTAAAAAGATATTGAGCTTTAAAAGGTTGTTAATTCCATGTTACTGACATTATGAGAGTTACGTAGTTATTTTTTTCCTTTGGTGAATTCGTTTATGAAAGTTGAAACAGCGTTTTGAACGTATACGGAGTGCCGTTTAACCCTACTTTGAGCTGTTTGTTTATCTCTGAGCATCAGCAACAGTAGCGCAGCAGCAGCAACAGCTGAAACAAACAGCTCAAAGTAGGGTTAACGGCACTCCGTATACGTTCAAAACACTGTTTCAACCTTCGTGAACGAATTCATCAAAGGAAAAAAATAACTACGTAACTCTCATAATGTCAGTAAAATAGAATTAACCACCTTTTTAAGCTCAATATCTTTTTAAGTGCGAAAAAAAATAAAAACAAGATTCCTCCCTTAAGACCTGTGTTATTTCTCCTCTATATTAGTCATATATATACTGAGGTCACGTGGTAGAGGCATAATCCCAATTGCAGACCGCGCATGTTATGTATAGGGTATGCCTATAGCTCCCACTCGAATTCAGCGTGCGTACACGCGAAACACTTTGCGCTTGGGCTTCATGCGCTACGCCCGATGTGTGTCATAGTGTATACGCTAGCAGACCATACTATATTACTTTGAGCGCATCTCATACGATCTATACTTGAAATCCAAGCATTGCACACATCAATCGATAGTCATACTAACGCAGTATAGATTCTCATGCTACAGCTGCTTGATTTTTTTTTCAGTGTACAAGTCAACTGACGAACTGACATAATGAAAACAAACACCAACCGTCTGCATGCACGAGTGCGCGTCTTCCTGAAAAGTCGCAGAATCAAAACAAACATCTCCGCGCCAACAGCGAATTAGCGTCCGCTAACCGACCTGTCGCGCATTACCACTTAGTCCACATAATTTACTGTATAATTTTCTCCTTATAGATAGTTCATTTATTAATAGAAAAAAGAGAGCATTGCATCTTTTGTTAATTTATGTGTTATTCCACATGTTAATTCATATCAAACTTATGTGGTTTAAGATTTTTAAAATGTACGCATGTTACGTACGAAATGCAAGTACACATTTCAAATTTTTGAAATATACATATTAATTTATGAAAATCGTGAAATTTCACGTATCGTACTCTGCTTATTTATTATTTTCAGCAGGCGCTTTTGATTTAATAATTAACGTAATTTTTAAAAAAGTAATTTTTCTTATTAGATAAAACTGAAATTTGTCTAGCATGTCACTAAATAATTTGCAGAAAATTTCTCCTGAAAAAAAAGCCTTTATTTTATCATCCACGTATATTTTCCATAAAAAAATAAGAAAAAAAAAAGTTGCAACGACCAGGAATCGAAGACTTGCCGTGCAGGGTCTCATATGAGTAAGAGGTTTATCCAACTGACCCATCGAGGACTCCGCTCAGCTACAGTTGAATGTGATATTTAAGCTGTGTGAAGTGGGTGGGGCTCAAGTTGAAATTAAGGAGAGGGCGCTCCCCTTCTTCTGCTCAGGGATAGAGAGAGAGAGTAAATATGCGCATAAGTGTGCACGAAATGTCTTGGGTAGTTAGAAACACTGCTTTAAACCAACAAAATTACTCTGACTTTAACACTTATGTTATTTCTTATAAATGCTAGCAAGTTACTTGTAACTCATTATCGTGGTTTCAAGCTGAGACAGAAGTGTCTTATAATCTCTGACTTATGCTGCTCAGCATATGAAGCTTGCTCAACACGCATGGCTCACTGCTTTTGTTCCTCACATCCAAAAAGATCGCGAGTATTTAAAAAGTCTGTGTGTCTCCTCGATTCATTCTAAACGTTAAAATCATAATTTCTTAATGATTCTTTTCGTAGTTAACTTTCCCGTCTATGTACTAATATTTAGACAATATGGCTTTGTACGTAAAATGTTATTAATATCTAATTGGTTACACTCCAAGTGTAAGAATGTAAATCCCATCTTTTAAGAGTTTAGCTTGAAAAATTTTATTTTATGTTAATCTGCCAAATTACCTTGGGTTAGTTGGCCCAGAAATAGTTCATATTCCATGAATATTTATTGAAAAAATATTTGGAGTGAATGGAAAATATAAGATTCTTTGAACAAAGGCTGGTCTTACAAAAACAAGATGTGTTTGCTTATACCACAAAAAAATTAAAATGTGATAACTGTCTGCAGCATTTTAATAAATAAATTAGACGTTACGTATGCTAATATTCATGCTTACATTCATTTGAATATGTCTAATTTTTTTAGCAAGTTCAAAGCTCCTCCACCTGATCAAAGCTATGGCCGAGGCCGAGATTGGAATGTGGATCTAATACCCAAATTTTTGATGGCAAATGGTTTACTTGTAAAGTTACTGATCCACACTGGAGTCACTCGTTATTTAGAATTTAAATGTGTGGAAGGATCATATGTTTACAAATCTGGAAAAATTTCTAAAGTTCCCATTGATCAACAAGAAGCCTTATCAAGTGATTTGATGGGACTTTTTGAAAAAAGAAGATTCAAAAATTTTTTAGAATGGGTTCAAAATGTGCAAGAAGATGATCCTAAAACATGGGCTGGGTTCGATCCGTTCAAAAACCCTATGAGTGCATTATACAGTAAATTTAACTTAGATAAAAATACTCAAGATTTTACTGGTCATGCTCTTGCATTGTACAGGTAAGTTTAGTATTTTAATTCAGCCTATGATAACCTATTTTATTAGTACATCAAACTGTTTTTTATACATATATGAACATTCTTTTTACTTTCAATAGATTATCATCAAGAAATAGACACCAAAATTATTTACTTTTTTCTTTTATTCACTCCCAACTGACTACTAAATGACATAATTTTATTTCGATGTTAAATCTTAGCTTATTTCAATGTTATTGTCAATTTGTTAGCTTACAGCTTTTTGGAACCTTTTGCATTTAATTATTTTTAAAAATCTATAAACTAGTTAACTGATTCCACATAATTGATTTTAAAAATAATGTAGTTTATAATTTTCATGAACTCATTTATTACATTCATAGATAAGGAAACATCCCAAATAAGTTAAATCAACAGATCGGAATTTATTACGCTGTGTATGTAAATAGTGCCTTAGCCGTGCATTCTCAAGTTTACTAGAGGGAGAAAAGGTGATAGGAGAAAAAAAAAAATAATAATGTCGCGAGAAATAAAGGGAGGTAGTTATACTTTCAACTAGAAAAATGTTATTCATCACAACTCTATACAGACAATTAGTCTCCCGATCTTTTCATCTTTTAACTCAAAATACATTGTACCTTAGACAACAAGGCCTCCAAAATTATAGTTTTCGTTACGAACAATATTATTTTTTGTACATTAATAACCAATACGCTTATCGCGATTTTCACAACCCACAGTCTAAGTTGTTGAGGAAACGTTTTTTAACTTAACAGTTACTGAAAATAAGAACTTTTTTAAATTTTTGCGGAATATCTCCACTCCAGTGCATTTTTCAACAAATATATGTGATAAGTTTTTTTGTTTTTCTTTCACTTCTCTACAAAATAGTACTGATAACTTACTATTGTTTATTAATGAATTGCGTTCAAAAACAAAAAAACTCAATTTTTTTGTATTAGATATTTCGGTAAAAAAATGGCTAGAGGCATAAAAATTTAAGTAAATATTGCTTTTGACAATAAACTAGTGCTGCTAATTGTAAAGAAGTCGTTTTCAACCTTTACGAATAGATATTGAACAGTTTATTTTTTTTCTTCCTTTGTAAAATGCGCCATTTTTTTTAAATCCATTCATTCTACTAAAACTAAGCCAGTAAATTTCGAAAACTATTTTAATTTGTCCTGATGGAATTTTTAAAAAATTTTGATTTATTATGGTATTTTAACAATTTTTCGGCATCACCGCTATTCAACCGATGAATAAAAAACACTACAACTTTTGGAATTTTCACAGTAGAATACTAGCACTTTTGTAAAGTTGAAATCGCTATAAAAAATGAAGGGAAAAAAATAATTAATAAATTGCTCTAGAACCTTTTGGAGCCAACATAGCTTTTGAAAAAAAAAGTCCTGAGCCGTCGATATTAACAGATTTTGGTAAAATGCACAGTGCTCTTTCACCTGCTACTTTACCACATGTTTTATCATAATTAATGCCTGCCTACCGTGATGTATGGTTTTTTTATTGGAAAACTATACATTCAACTATATTTTCTGTAAATTTGAGAAAAATCAGTTGAGTACCGACGGCTGAGGATTCTTGTCAAAAAAAGACTATCTTGACTCCAAAACATCCTGAAATAATTAAAAAAAAAATTTTTTTTTCACTGACTTTATAGTTATGAAAGTGCAAATGTTCTACGATCAATTTTAAAAATTGTAGTGTCTTATACGTCGGCTAAAAATTACTGATGTCGAAAAAATCGACCAAAATCAATATTTAAAAAAAATTTGAACCTAAAATAATATCTTAATAGTTTTTTGAATTTCCTGGCTCAGTTTTAGTGCAGTAAATTGATTAGAATAAATTGTGTATTTTTCAATTAAGGATGGAAAAAAGTTTGTACGATAACTATTCGTGAAGTTTAAAATTGATTTTACTGAAATTTGCAGCACTTATTAACATCGTCATAAGCAATATTTTGTTAAATTTTGAAGCCTTTAGCTATTATTTTTATCGAGGTATGTAATAAAAAAAAATTGATTTTTTATCTCTAAAAGCAATAAAATAATAAATAGAAGCACATAACGACTTATAATCAGCACCATTTTATCGAGAAACATAAAAAACAAAAAATTTATAAAACACATACATTAAAAAATGCACTAGCAAGGAAATATCCTGCAAAGAGTGAAAATTCCTTTTTTTCAGGAATTTTTGAGTTAAAAAATGTTCTACCAACAACTAAGATTGTAGGTTGTTAAAATCGTAATCAATGCGTTTTTCTATTATTTTATCAATAATACACATGCGTCGTAACGAAAACTTTGGGTCATATTGCTTCTTTAACTGAGCTATAATCAGACTACTTTATATGGGAACCAAAAAAAGGAGAGAGGTTGAATGAAACAAAATTATTTAGATCAGTGTCTGGTAGACATTATAGTGAAAAACAATTACAAAAGAACTTAAATGTTCACACAGTAGACTTTAGTAGAGGAAACTATTAAATTTTAATGGTTGCAATTGGGGCCCAATTTCTAGTACAAAAAATCGTATACACAATGCGTTAGGTAAAAAATTATCGTCATTCTCATAGCAACTTAAAAAAACATAAAAACAGTTGCAACTTTAATTAGACGCAAACAGGTACTCGTCCAATATGCTTTCAAGTAACTCTATTGTATTTCCCTTTCGAGTAGCATTTGGAACGTTATCTGAGAATTTTAGTGCACTTAACGTAAATTATTGTTTGTGAGTGATTGCACCTTCAATCACAGCACTTTACTGATGCTTTACACAATTAGCCATAAAAAACAAGAACGTTTGTTCAGGTATAAACGTAGATTATTAAAACCTTGACTTGAAATTTTTTAATTAATACAATTAAATTAAATAGCAAATAATGTTAATAGTAAGTAGAGAGTAATAAAAAGGTACTTCCAGTATATAATGGTATTCTGCAGCCAACCGCTTTCTCGTGTCTCCTGTGATTAGCTGCTACCAGCTGTAACCAACTGTGACTATTGGTAGTTCCTACTGCTAACTGTTAATGATCTCTCATTTGTAAATAAATATCTATATTTTTCACTCTATTCAGAAGGTAATAGATCAATTTTATACTTATCAACAACAAGTACTCAAAACGGTAAATACAGTCACTTTTGATGCGTAATCTTAAGGAGGATAAAAATATGAATCAATTAATTTACTGATTTAATAATTTTTATACGTTATGATATTTTCTTGAAATTGCTATGTATTCGCTAATAATTTTTTTTTTTTTTTTTTTTTTTTTTTTTTTTTTTTTTTTTTTTTT